CAGCTGCAACGATGCCGAGGGCCACATTCACTCCTGCCTAACCTACAGCACAGTGGGTGCAGATCAAAGCTTGGAGAAAACCTCCTGTAAGAGCGGTGCGACAGCGCAGCGAGCCGCCTAAAGAGTCTGCAGCCTTCATCCTCGGCGGGTAGGCCGCCGTCTAGGCTGGCTTAGGAACGGCAAGCGCCCTCGGCGCAGGGAGCCGAGCATGACGACTCCCACCGATGTCAGTGCTGCGAAATCAGCAGGAGCCTTTCTGTGCTTTCCAGGGGGGCTGGACTGGGTGCCAGAGGAGCAAGCCCAGCTCTAATAGGCGTTAAAACGAGAGTGGTACAAGCCTGAAGGAAGTGCAACCACCCACCACTGCCCCACGGCCAAGGGCTGTCCGTCTCCACCAACCTCCTCAGCGGAACAAGCCCTTATGGCCGACCTGGAAGCTCCCGCGCTGAAAAGCACCCCTGCTATTTATACCTCAGACTAAAAGAGCCCCAGGACCTATCAGCGACCCCTGCACCACCAGCCCAGCGCAGGCTCGAGCACGTTATTCCCGAATGCTCGAAGCGCCCCGTCCGGCAGCAAGTTGGGGTTCGCTCCAAAAACTCGTTGGAGCAACTCAAGCGGGCACGGCCCCAAGCCAGAGCTCATCTGCAGGCTCTCCACGAGCGGGACTTTCCCCAAAGCTGGGGCGTTTGCTCCGCTCGGACAAGAGCGGCAAGGTTAACAACCGATCCGGCAGACCCAGCGCCGGGGGCTTCGTCTCCGAGGTCCCGTCTCTCGTTGTGCCGGGCTACGATGCGCTGGGCCGCAGGGCAAGGCTGTCCTACGAGCCCTCCTCTTGGCAGGAGAGCTGGAGGCAACTCGAAGGGGTCGGGATCTCTGGTGTGAAGCCCTGCCCGCCCCGGCTCAGACCGCGACAGCGCTCCGGAAGACGCCAGAGCGGAGACGGGAAAAGAGGGATCTCCCCTTTAAACCGGATCGGGAATCACCACCCTCCACCCACAGCACGGGGCCGCGTCGCCTCGGGGTGGGAACAGTCCCCGTCCCCGACCTCGAGGGCCCGGTTGTTTCAGGCCCCCACGGTCAGTTCAGCGACTCCCAATATCGGGGGGCACCGCTCCAGCAACGCAAATACCGTCCCCCCCGCATGACACAGGGCGCTGCAACGTGACAGCGGTGCCGGCACGGCGACGGGGGGCAGCCCCAGCCCAGCCCAGCCCCCGGCGCTGACCTGCTGTTCGCCGATCCGCTCCGCTCC